TTTTGGTAATCAATCATAAACTGAGCCGCGTGTCACGTTGCACCGCATGTACCCCAACTTAATGTGGCTTATGTGCACGGACACGCGATCGTTAAGCGCGTTATTCAGTTGACATTCGAGGGCCAGGACCATGGCATCGACTAGCCTCGTTCACAACACGTTGCTGGGCACAGTGACCTCCAACAATCGAGGGGGGCACCCCTGAAAGATGCAGTAGAAAGAGGAAAAGCTGAAAGGCCATTATTCTGACCGATATGAACATCCTTTGTGTCATGTCACCGAGGAGAACAAAGGTCATGCATGAAAGCGGAATGCACTACCGTCTTCTTTCTAGAAAATACCTGGCCGTGCACGGAATGCAATGCGAAGAAAGCGTGCAAAGTTAATAAAATAATGATGACGTGGGCGTTTTCCGCCAGAGATGTGTCGATACTGCCATTGATGGGGTTATGGGCCCGAATATTCCGAATACCCGAGCCCGAAAAGCAAAAAAGGGTGTCTATTACAGTACTCGGTATCCTTCCGGGGAGATCACTTACGAGTATGAATGATGTCAGGACTCGGGAAGCGAGGCATCAAGTTATCTAAATGGAACAGCAGAGCCTGCGAGAAGAGCTGCGCAAGCGAGGTGCGAGTGCGACAGGACAGGTATGTGTATTTTGGGATCGGAAATAACAAAGACAAGGGGACAAACTTCCAACAATCTGATGCGGACAAGGCACCGCAATATAGTAGAGGCCATCCATCAAATCGTTTGTTGGTGAATTGCTAAGACGATGTCTTAAGACTCTGGGGATCATTGCTGAAGTAAGGAGGGTTAGTAAGAAGTTAGGTTGGTAGGTCCTGACTTAGTAAGCGCCGGTGAGGCCGAGGGGCGTCGTACGTGTGTGGTGGTCAAGGAGAGATTTACCCATGTGACCCACCTGGTGCCGAGGCCAAAGAGAGGACATCGATAATTGGGACGAGGGGGAACGAGGGGGAGGATTCGGAGTTTGGGGCGAGGGGATAGCCGAAAGGAGCGAAAAGATGCGTCGGTGCGAAGTGTACGGGGCGCTGTGGGGCGGCGAGGTACGCTAGAAGACGTATGTTGGTACAGTATTGGCGCCTCAGGTGAAATAGTAAAGACCGGAGTGGATTTTTTGTTCTATTCGGGCACGGGCACGGATGGAGGTGGGTGGCAAGGGTGGGTGGGGGCGAGTGCCAGAAGTGGGAGAGAGCGAATGGATGGTTGAGTCAGAGATGAGAAAACGCCGAGATGAGATGGTCCCGATTACAACCAGATACCGGGAACCCGTCTCAGCGATGTAGCTGGTCCTTTCCTCTTGCTCTATAAATCTCCATCCCGATGTCCCGTAAGCTTCCCCGTCCCCACCCTCACCTTCACCCTCATCCTCTCTCCCAGACATATCTTTACAAATGTCTCCTACCTTCCAGTACGATCTCCCGATGCGCGTATCTCATTCAACATCTCCCGCACCTAAGCGCCACTTTTCTCATCGTCGCCAACCAAGAGTGGCAGACGTCTCTCGCATCCTCGACCCTTCATACCTATCCTCCTCAGCTTCATCCTCGCCGACCTCCGTATATGCGGATACCAATGGGATTCTCCACGATCCAGACTACCGCCACTTTCCCACTGTGGCCGCTCCCCGCCGTCCCGCCTGGGAGAGCGGCGGCAATGACAACGAAGTAGATATCGAGGACTTTGACGAACACGCCTCGCCTCCGTAGTGCATCTCCTCGCGAGCGTCGCCGTGCACGCTACTCCGCCTACGAGAAGTCCTTACCCTACGCCCGCCGCTCCCTCGAGGAGGCCATCGGGGAACGACGGCACCAAAACCCCATCCGCTACAAACGCCGCACGAGAAGCCACTCTCCCCATTATGAGATCACTCAGATGGAGGTTGACGAGCCCGACGTCGTTTCCCGGGCGCTCAAGCACGAGCAGTACGTGCCAATGCACCAGGAGGTACCTGACTGGACGTGAGTCATCCTTTGTACCTTTACCTTTCATAAATCTGACTGACGGGACCCCACCCAGCCCCACATGCGGCCAGCAGTTCCGTCGCCAGTGGCAAGCATTCGCTCTCGGTGTTCGCTTCTCCATCTTCCGCGCACAGAGAAGGATCAGACGGAAATTCGCGTAACCCCGACCCAATCATCTCCATCTTTATCACGACATCGTCTATGCGACATCGTCTTCTATGGTTTCGACCACGGCTATCGACTGCCGTACATGCTAGCTGGGAGCAGCAACTCGGCCGCGGCACGAGCGCTCCTGGCATCGTGCCACCTTCACACCTCTGCTTGTGTGTAGGTGCCATGCCCCATTCAACTGGCCCCTTCCCCTTTGTTCCACAGTATCGCCTTCCACACCCATGTCATACTACATACGGTCCTGGTTCACGTTCTGCTGTCTCCAACATATGGTCACCTCTAGCTCCCATCTTCGTCATTCAAAGGCACATGCACTTGCACTTTTTACCCTTGCGCTTCGATTGATTCCCCCACCCCACTCCACACTCGCTTTTTCATGACATCACGTTTTCTGATGATGAGCCGATTTTTTTTATATGTACGAATTTCCTGAGAAGTTGTTTTACCCGAATGTATCGAGGGCACAATGATGCGAACCTCGCGTTGCTACACAATGAACTAAAGAAGTTGTTTTACCATTATGATGAAATCAGTGATGTATGAGGCCAACCGTTTGAGGCGATTTATAGAACGCGTAAGTCGAATTGCAGCGTTTGTCTAAGATTCGTGTCTACACGTCCGATTATGCCTGCGTGCTGTCTGCAGCTCATCGGTTCGCTGAGGAACGGCAGAGAAGCTCGTATCAGGAGATCTGTTCTGCGCCGGCACACGGAACGGTGGCATGCTGTGCCACCGCAGAGAGCCCACTCCGGGCACTGAAAAGATCGATGGAATAGGACAAAGGGGTAAACAAGGCCGTGCCGTCCTCACTGATGGGCCTGTTCGCGCAGCCTCGCCTCAAGTCGAGTCAGGTCCCCCACACCACGTTCCTTACAGTTGGGGTTAGGGCGCACGGCCTTGCACCCCGATTTTGGTTATTTTTTTCGTGTTGATGCAGAGGCGATGTGCCGCGTGCTGCGGGAGAAGACCGACAAGGCCGGACTGAGAGAGGGGGAGGCTGGGGGCGAGCTATCTAGAAGACCGCCACACTTCCGCGTCAACGCGCGGATGGGCGGCTGACACCCTGGCAAACACCCCCCGGACGGACACATGTGGGGTAAGCGCCCCCTGCGGATTGGCTGCGCACTGCGGGCGTAATTGGTAAGTCGGTGCTAAGCCAACGTCGGTAAAGGTAGCGCGCGCTTGGGGGTCCAAGCCCGCCTCGTTCCGCTGCCGACGTTCGCATCTCGCGAAAAAAAAAAATTCCATTAACAGAACAAAGAATCACTACGGCGACCATTGCGTCGTTACAGCGAACACGACGAAGCTGGCGATTACCGTAGGACCCTTTGATGCCGGATGTGAAAAGGTATGGTCTTATTGGGCAGGATGTCGTTGCGTGCGTGCGAAGTAGAAGGACCGCAGAACGCGGCTCGGACCGTCCTTTCGGGGGCGGGGGCGAGGGTCGTCGGTAGCAACGACCCGAACGAGCTGCCCCCAAAAAACTTACCATCTCGCCGCGGCGGGGCTCGATGCGGAGACTGGACGGACAACTGAACATTGGGACAACCCCACCGGAGACGACCGTGAAGCGTGCTTTTCGCACCCCGCCCCGCGCCGTTCTCACATGTGAAATCTCACCTTCAACAATTGTGGGCCTTTCGCTATCAAGAGGGGCTAACGAATATTACCACAAGTGGAAATCAATCACGGAGTTACGTGGGCTACACTTCTGGACGTTCTGGACATGATTCTTTCCAGATTGTACGGAGGTCGAAATTCAATTCAGTCGAGTATACAGGGGACGATGGGGAAGGGTGAGGGGCATCCAAGCTTTCAAAAACATCACGCGGAGAGAAGCGGGACCCAGAGGGACCAGAGTGGAGCATCGTCGGGACATGCGATCAGCAGCCCGACTGACCTGCATAATGTGGGTAGGTAGTACAGATCGAGCGAAGCAGCGCTCAATCGACATTCAAGCTGCCATATGTTTAGTCAAGACGATCTAGCAACCTTCAACTCGAGTCATCGCAGTCCCACAGTCGCACAGCATCCCCCAGTGAAAAGGACGGTTAAATCCAATTGTGACTCATGAGTCCCCTGAACCCACGTACTTCGATAGATGTGGAAATGGAAATATGGAACTTGGGTTCGTGGTGTTTTCCAGTGGAACTTGCAGGTCCCATGATGGCGCGATAGTGAAAGTGCGCTCCGGAGCTTTCATCCAACGAGGGCTGGGGCTGACGAGTTCGCGGAACTTACCACATTGAGTGAGTGAGGCATCTGCCTAGTGCTTTTCCTGCCCAAATGCCCTAACGGGATAGGATGGGAAAAAGGTAAATGCGTGCAGATGGTCGGCGTAGGCAAGTCATATGCCAACCTTCCCCAGACGGCTACATGTTATTGGTTGCTCGACCAGGCGTGAGAACAATACAATCACGCTGGAACGACTCGGAAGTCGCGAAACGGCCAATCTTCGCAGGTGCGAAGGGAAGTTGCTTTCCAGCGCAATTGTCCAGCTGACCGGAAAAGGTAAAAATAGTCCCAATGATCAGTCATCTCGTTCAATCGCAATCGGCTTTCATGATGAGCGAGATAACTTCTTGGTAATTCACAGTGGCTCCCGCCTGCTGCTGCTGACTGCGCGTCTAGATTTGTCATGTTCAGGTTACGGGCTCGGGGATTGCGGCTTCTCGGAAGTTGAGAGGAAGGGGCAACTCGGCACACGCACCGATGAGGTGGGATGGGGATTAGTGGGCAGGCGGCCCAGTTGAGGAGACCGGAAAGATTCGGAAACGATACACTTTTGAGTTGAAAGGAAATTTGCCGTATAGGAGTATGTATGATTACCGAAAAAAGCTTTACTGCCCCAGTGAGGCTCGAACTCACGACCTTCCGATACCGCTATCTTTAACAGTCGGACGCTGTAACCAACTCAGCCATGGGGCACGCATAGAAGTACCAAATGAAGAAAATTATCAGGAGCTTGACCGACCCGCCGAGTGATCTGCTACCTTTTGCGAGCCTTGGGCAAGATGTCCACTCTTATGAACGGCATCAAGTCACAACGATCACAACGAAGCGACCGATTCTGGTTTTACGATGGCTCCGTCCTTGTTAGCTTGGCGCCACTGGTGTATAAGGTCCACAAGTCGATCTTTGATCGGCATTCATCCAAGTTCGCGCTTTGGCTACTTGATGTTGAGGATCCGGCCGCTCTTGCGTTATCGAGGGCCATCGACCACGCGGGAACTCCGGTGATAGTGATTCCGAGCGACATGGACATTTCGGTCGAAGACTTCGAGGCGCTGTTAGCACACTTGTACCATGACTCGTGAGCGCGTTCGAAACTGGTCGCGCCTTACGACACCATCGTGGGTGAACCTAACCTACCATTACAGTCCACTAAGACGTGAGAGCCCTTTCCCTCAGCTGGCCCGCGTGTTGCGGGTGTCATCGCCCCGCCAACTCGGTTTAACTTCAATCTTCGAGTTGGCAAAGGGTGACCTTGCCACCCTTTCCCCCGGCGGACCTATCCCGTTCGCGCATTTACATCGGGTCGAACATCTAGAAGAGGGGTTAGAACTCGCTCTGCAGCATGACGCCGATTTAGAGGTAGTATTGGCACACAGTCGTGGCGGCATCAATGTCACTAATCGCCCTCCTCCCCCCCCCGCAGACCAAGAAAGCGTTGCTTTACAGCGTCGTCACGTCGACCAACTTCGACCCAAAGAGCCAGTATGACCCCTCCGGTCCAGATACTCACGATGACGCATCAGGTGCGGGTGCACCGCACCCCGCCCTTTCTCCCCGCACACTTCGGATCTGCCATCGTTTGCTTTCCTCGCTCATTGCGGATTTTACGCCAGTTCTATTCACTGTCGGTGCAGCATCGCATATGCAATGCACAGACGCGCTCGCGGACTACTGGATGAGCGACGTAATCACTCCCGCGCTCGCCGATGGTGGCGTGGGGCGTCCCCTTGAGACCCTTACACGCATCGCTTCTGAGTCTTGGAAAGAGAGGGGCGTTTGCGAAGAATGCGTTGAGAGCAAGAAAGTAGAGTGGGGTGATACGGCGAATGATATCTGGGAGAAAATCGGTGGATGGGTAGAAGAGGCAGAGAAGGAGTTCCACAGGGACTAGCGTGTGGATAGTCAAGGGATGAATTCTACAATATTGCAGTGTGAATTTCACCAACTGTCTCCTCACACAATTCCGTTTTCTCGAAGATGGGAGATGCGCTCCACATCATATCCCAATTCGCTTAATACCTGCTTGCCACCATGAGCCAACCGATTGAGTAGACCACAGATACGGCCGCACCTCGTCAGTATGCTCGGAGAGCCACGGTGGGGGTCTGTTCACCGGCATCTTCTTCCCGTTGTAAGTGACGGCAGGCCCGACTAGTTTGATCTTTCCAGCGCGCGGGTGCTAGGGGGAGAACTGAGTGGCGGAATTGTGACGGAAACTGGAGTCCGTACTTCAACTTCTACAACAACACCACGTGCAATAGCCTGCGGGTGCTCGAATGTCTGCTGGATACTGTTAATGGGGCCATATGGAACCCTTAGACCTATCAGTGTGGGCCAAGTAAGAACCCGAATCCACACTTACCCAAGCCCATCGAATAACTTCAGCCAATGACTCAGCGAATTTTGCATGAGTGCATCTGTGATTATCTTCACTAGTAGTTCACGATTTGCCACTCTTGCTCCATTTGTACTAAATCTGGTATCATTTGCTAGCTCGGGTTGACTAAGGACTTTATCTGCGAAGAGTTTGAACTGCGTTGTAGTGTGGGTAGGGTCGGGGCAAGTAGAAAGGCGAGTGATCACACCTGCTTATCGTTTCCGGCACCAATTAAAATGTGACCATCCTTGCAAGGAAATACTTGGTAAGGGACAATTGACGGATGGGCCGTGCCGTGCCTATGAGCTTCCTTTCCCGCGATGAGATAGTTGGACGCAATGTTCGCAAGGCCCGCGATCTGGTCTCGAAGGTTAAAGTATTATCGAAATTCTTCGTCGAAGGAGACGCACCTGTGACTCAAATAGGTTGCAATCTATCCATACACCCTTCCCTGTCTTCTGTCGGGAGATAAGGGCGGCCATGATGGCACCATGGGTGTACAAGCCGGTTGAAATGTCAGTCACGGCGACACCAACTTTGGATGGCGGTCGGTCAGGTTCCCCTGTTCTGGGGGCCATTCGTTTAGAGAATAGGCCGGTCGCCGCTGTTGGCAGTGTTCCTCACATATGCATAAGCCCCGCCTCTCCCTCAATTATGACATCGTAACCCGCCGCTGTTCGATAAGGACCTGTTTGTCCATAGCCTGGGGACCATCAACATGAACGGAGGGTGTGAACACGCGGAGAGTAAACGTACCGGTGATTGAGGCGTAAATTAATCTGTTATTAATGGAGCTACAATCCTCATAACCGAGTCCCATGGAATCCAGCTTGCCGGGTATAAAGTTCTCAACCAGTACGTCCGCCCTCGCAACGAGCTTACGCAAAATTTCCAGCCCCTCAGGGTTTTTAAAATTGACTGTAATGGAACGTTTGTTTCTGTTCACTGCGAGAAAATACGCGGATTCCGGAGGGAGGTGGGAAGCGGCCTTTGGCGCGGTTTCAGAAAGGGGAGCAGCGGGTGGGTTCCATGAACCTGTGTTAAGATAGTTGGCGAATGCGGGGGACGGTGGCCGAGATACTCAACGTGTATCGTCACCACGTTTGATTTCCTCTACTTTTATGACGTCTGCGCCGAGATCGGCTAGGAGCATCGTTGCCATTGGGCCAGCAAGAACGCGGGTCAAGTCAAGAACGCGAATTCCCTTGAGTGGAGGCTCGATGCCTGCCAGCAGCCACATTTAAAGAGAAATTCCTGCGAGCGAGAGAGAGAGACCGAGACAGTCGTAACATATTCTGGACGACGACCGGCCCGGTGCTGTGGCCCTCTTTGAGCACACCCGCCCATCACCTCATCCTCATGCCCGCGATTGAATTGACGGATCTATTCCCTTCGACATCTTATCGTCTCGCTTACGCTCTTCCACTCCTTGTATTATCCACTCTCCTTGCATTTGCTGGTTCTTTCTTTACGCTCGACCGCACTCGTTCCTTTCGACCTCGTAGCGATCCTTTACATGTCCCTGGGTCCTTCAGCCTAACGAAGAATCCGAAACGTTTTCGTCTTTATCTGCAGGGTGGTGTTGGTGGTCCTCGCCATTGGTTATTCATTCGGGCGTACGTTCGTCTACATCCCTGTTTAGTGCTACAAAGGTCATTGAAATCTCCTCAGTCCATTTATCCACGTTTCTTGCGCTAGTGTTTCCTAATGAATCGTCATCCCCACCCCTAAGTCCAAAGTCCTTCTTGGCCGTCTGGGTAATCACCTCCGTTTCTCTGGCCATCTTCTCTGGCCTCTTCAAATATGCTGCACTCGCACTGGCGGGTATCACAGGCGGGTACGTAAAAGTCTTGGCATATAGTCATCAATCTTATCGCGTCCCTCTCTTAGAACCTCTCTGGCGCTTGCTCTGTCCATCACAATTCATCCCAATCTTTTGACACGACGTATCTTCCTTGCACTTCTCGCAGCAATATGCTGTGTCTTCGCCCTACTCCCTTTCTCCCGCACCCAACGTAATTTTATTCGCCTGTCTGCTTCCGCGACCGGGGCATTTGGCTTGATCCTATCAATTGCTCTGTTAGCGCACGCCGAACAGTGGTCGGACGTTTGGGAGCGCTTGTGGGTAACAGATGGGAGCGGGTGGGGTGATGGTGTCGAACGAGCTCTTAGCGCTGGCTATTGGCTCATCCTCGTGGCTGGATGTTTAGTAGATTGGGCACTGAGAAGGTATTTCGGGGGCAGTCCTGACGAGGTATTTTTCACGTCTGTGATCCTGAATCGGATCTTTGACCTAGTTGATGTAGGAATGGGACTCTTACCTCACAGAATACGCCGCATCGCTTCCCATGGCCCGTGATCGTGCGGGCATCTTCCAACCACTTTCGCACAGTTCCTGGGATCAACTCCTCCCTTGCCTCCGTCGGTCAAAACCATCTAATGCACCCGACATCTTGTTCCCTCCGGATGATAAGTATACCCTCTCTCCACACATGTCTTTCGAACACAATCGTCAAGCCTTCTCCCCGGGGCAACCGACGGTCCAACAAACCTTTAGTTTCGATGAACCACCCCGTCTCCTGCGAAAACAGACTCAACGTCCTCTCGCCCGCCTGCGCGGGTTGGCCAGCACGGAGAGTCACGGCTACCGCAAACGTGAGGCGTTAAAGTTTGGTGCGATGGACCCCAGTGATCTCAGCTCGGACGACGAAAATGATCCTTTGTCTTCCCCCCCACCACCTGCTCGTCGTGCCTCAACACGATCCAGCAGTGCGACGCTTACCAATGGGTCCAGCGAGGGCTCTCGGCGCATCTCCCTTGGAAATGAAAGTTTAGACAAGGTAGTCGCCGCCAAGCGTGTTGCTTTGGAAACCAACGATGCTAGCGCACCGGAGTATTCTGACCATGAAGAAGATGCGATCAACTCCAAGGCACGGTCAACGGACCATCGCAATTCGCCGGGTTGGAAGCCGCCGTTTATCGTGCGGAACGGCTCGAACACCGCGAGCACTGCGGAGCCCGTTGCAGCTGTACCAATGACACCGTCCCTCATCCGTGCGGTCGATCGTATTGAAGCAGCTAAGGTCCAAGCGTATGGCTCTCCAACTCCTGTAGACTCGACCGCGACCGCGACCACTCCCGATACCTACACCGCTGGGACCAGTCCAGCAAGGAAACAACGATGGGAGGCCTTCTGGCATGATGTGACTTCTAAAGCAGGGCAGAAAGCAAACACGCAGTAATCCTTACTACGCACTGTTTTTTTTGCTCTTTCATTTTTGTCTTTTTATACGACCGATTCACGACGACTTTTTGA